GACACACAGAGAGAAAGAGGCAGAGACACAGGCAGAGAGAGAAACAGACTCCATGCAGGGAAGCCTGATGTGGGACTCGATCCCCAGTCCCCAGGATCACACCCTGGGCTAAAGGTGGTGCTAAATCGCTGAGCCACCCAGGCTGCCCTTTTTATATGTTTCTGAATTTTAACTGCTGATATTTCATTAAGGATTATGTGGATATACATATATTATATATGCATATAATATATATTTAAGCATATATATATAATTTTAAAGATCCTTTCTGAAAATATCAATACTTCTTGAGCTCTGATTATATTAACTATTTTTCTTTGCAGGTTTGCTTTCATACTTTTTCATATGTTCCTTAATTTTAGATATTCAGTTTCCTAATTTTAGATTTAATACCAGACATTGTGTATTAATAAGAACATTAGAGACCCAGACCAATTCTTTTACACTGAGAAGAGGCATGTTCCCTCTTCTGTCAAACTTTCAGTGTAGAGGTTTGGTGAGTAAACTTTGTAGTGGAGGCAGGCTGAGGCTCTGTTGTTATTTTATTTTTTATTTTTTTTTAATTTTAATTTTTTTATTTATTTATGATAGTCACACAGAGAGAGAGAGCTAGAGAGAGAGGCAGAGACACAGGCAGAGGGAGAAGCAGGCTCCATGCACCAGGAGCCCGACGTGGGACTCGATCCCGGGTCTCCAGGATCGCGCCCTGGGCCAAAGGCAGGCGCCAAACCGCTGTGCCACCCAGGGATCCCTCTGTTGTTATTTTAGTTCTTCTGTCCTGATCCCAGCCTTTGGCTCTTATTGAAGTCCTAGAGCATCTCAGAGGTAACCTTGTAGTTCTTCTACTCTCCCTCCAGTGGAAGCCTAGAGTGCCCTGTAGGGTTTCTATCAGCTCTCCTGCCCTATCTCCAGCAGTTAGCAGCTTCTGCCTTGCATTTGTCAAAGGCCCCATCCATCTCATATCTCACAGGGGAGATCTCTCAGGACTTTCTTGCCCCCAGACTATGTACAAGTGACAATCCATAGGCAAGAACTAGAGAGTGAGTGCATACTAGGGTTCCTTAAGACTCCAGCCCACCATCCCAGCCAACCAGTGAACATCAAAAGTCCATCAAAAGTCCAACTGACTTCTCCTCACCCCATCTACAGAAGGCTCTTCCAATCCTCACTTCAGCCAAGGCTTGAAGCAGTCATGGGCCTCTCTCTCCTGAAATCCATGCCATTTAAATTTATTTCTCTACATCTCTTATAGGTTTCTTTAAACGAGAATTTCTTTAAACTATAATTTCTTTAAACTATAAATTTATAATTTAAATTAAACTATAAATTTATAGTTTATTTTTTTTAATTTATAGTTTAAATGATAATTATAGTTTGTCTGGATGAGTTTTTGCAATGGTCTCTTGCTACTTCTTATATCCTAACAGGAAGCAAACCTTTAAAAGTGATGTTAAAAAATCATTAGGCAACTGAAATTCTATACCTTCCATTAAAACACAACACACACACACACACACACACACACACACACGAGTCCATTTCCTAATTTCTCTTAACTTTTGCCCTACTCAGCCATCCATATCACTTCCTGTTGCCCGCCTCTTTTAAATCAGTGACTCTCCATTAGGATGCTTTTGCTCCCCAGGGGACACTTCTGATTGTTATGGCGGGGAGAGTGCTATTGGCATAGAGAGGGTAAAAACCAGGGATATTGTTAAACATCTATCAGTGAGTGGGACAGCACTCAGCAACAAAGAATCATCTGGTCCAAAATGTTAATGGTGCTGAAATTAAAAAATCCTGTTTGAAGGGAATATGAATGAATGCCCATAGCAAATTCAATCTTTTTTTTTTTTTAATCAACAAATTCTGGTGGCTACCAAGCAAATCACAAAGGAATGGAAGGGGAAGCAAGAATATTTGTATTATCTCCTTAATCCTGGGAAGGCAGTGAGTGACTCTTCCGCATTGCCACATCTTTTGTCACAATGATTTACCATGGTAGTATCGGTAATGAATGTTTGCTGAATGAATACACGGATGAAAGAGTGAAGTGTATGTGCTGCCTGCTATCTGATAAGCTTCTTTTATGAAGCTTCTGCTTGAGCCTCCCATTACTTGTCAAAGGACAAGGGCATTTGAAAATTGTGTCCCCAAAGTTAATACAGTGATGTTCTGCTTTTGAAGTCAACTAGTTCAAATACTTCCTCGTTTACTTTGGATGTTCTTTCAAAACCATTCTTCCATTTCTACATTTGTGACTGGTCACTACCATGAGGCACCGCACTGGGCCCTGGGATAACGTGTTGAGTACTGCATGGACTTTGCCTCTGAAGGATCCTTCCCAGCGTATGCTCCACAGAAAAGCATGCATCTCTGAGTCACCAAAGTCGTGTTCATGATGGCTATTCTGAAAGCATAGCCTCAAAAATGTTTAAAAATCTGAAAAAGATAAAGAGAGAGAATCGAGTATGTTATAGTTCTGATTAATAAACTTATTTTGGGCACCTAGATGGCTCAGTCAGCTAACTACCTGACTCTTGGTTTCTACTCAGTCATGATGAGTAGAGCTCAGGGTCATGAGCTCTAGAGGAGTCTGCTTCCTGTCTCTCTCTCTCTCTCTCTCTCTTGCTGCCCCTCCCCCTACTTGTTCTCTCTCTAAAATAAATAAATATATTTCATAAGAAATTTATATATGAAACTCAGCACTATTTAAAATCAATTATCAGTAGAAATTTTTATCTTCCAAAATCACTTTGGGGACAAGATGCAAGGCTTACAACCAATTTACCCAGACAAGGAAATACTACGAGTTAGACTGGTGTGGGTTGCTGGCATTTATTTTTGTTATTTTTGCTCTAGTTGTCTGATGCAAATATTTGGATGGATGATTTATTACCATGTTTGAGTCCTGAGGCTTTTTCACTGAGGCTTGAACAGTCAGTGAGGAAATGTTTTTCAAATATATTCCAATTCAAATGATTTAAATAAATTATGTGTATATGTGTGGGCATGTATATTTGTGCTCTGCACTTACAAGAGAGTTCCAGCAGTTTTCAGCTTTCCTTTAAGAAGCTTTTCAGACTAATAAGTTATGAAAACCTCATGCGTGGATGAAATACAATTTCTTCATCTTTTTGGTAATCTTTTAAATTTTTTTCTCCTTAATTATTCATTTATTTTTTTCTATAAATATCCAGGGTTTGTGAGATCTAGAGCTCTTTCTTAAACTTACTGTAGTCTTAAGAGTTCTGGTTGAACCAGGGGTAAGGATGTGGCATTACCAGGTCCCAGTCACAGGTAAGTATTTGGACACATGCCTGGTTCCAAACCCACCCTGAAGTAGGACCCCAGCCAGCTCCATCTATTTGTGGTTACACCTTCATGTACCTGCCTCCCAGTTAGGTTACTGTGAGTGAAGTCCTTCTAGAGACTTTAAGTTAAAGAGAGAAAACCCATCTCAAATGAAGAAGTCAATCTGAGGAAGAGTACAAGAAGTGAAAGGCAGCGCCTAGCAATTTGCTTCTATGGGGCTAGGGAACTAGGCTCTAGGCGTATCCCAGATATGATTCACGAACACGGAATTTTTTAAATAAATTAGCTTAAGGAGGCCTCAGACAGTATTTGCTATCCTAGTATCACCCTTTATTCAGCTGAGGGCCCAGCTTGCCAAAAAGGACTGCGTGACTCTGAATTGGAAAGTTACGATCTGCAAACTAAAAGGCTGGAATCTTTGTTTACCTTGGTGTACCTACTCTGCCGTCAATCACAGGGAAATAATTTCTTTTTTATTTCTCACAAGATCTGGACTTAGGAATGTGGATCCCGTCATTGGGGAATGAAGCTCAGCTCAGTGTGTCTTCTTTTCCCTCCATACGGGTCTCTTTCCCCCTGCACTCTAGCAAAGGAGACAAGGGCATCTACCCTTCCAGTTGCTATTGTGAAATTATCATAAAGATAAGGTCAGCAGATACATGCTGAGTGCATCTGGTGACTAATTGAGACTCGACTTCTTTCTGCTTCTTCACGGAGGATGTGGTTAGGAAACACAAGGACAGGGAGGACAGGTTATCTCACTCCTCTGGAGGAGGCCCTGCCTTTGTCTTCTCCATTTGCGGTACCCTGAGGGCAAAGCATCTACTGTGGGTTTGTCTGTCACTTTCTGGGTGGTAGGAGCCTTGCCAGCTCCTGGTGGGAGACTCACTGCTGGGGAGGGACCTTGTCAACATCCCGGGGGTGGTAACAACAGCTCACTCATTAAGTCTTTGTTTTAAGATCCAAGCATCTAATTAGGATTTTGCTACTGGGATTAGAGGTATTTCTTCTTTTAAGTGGTTGAAGAAAAAGGGGTGACTGAGTGACGGGCACCGAGGTGGGCCCTTGACGGGATGAGCACTGGGTGTTATTCTATAGGTTGGCAGATTGAACACCAATAAAAATAAATTTATATAAAAAAAGGAATTGGGAATGGGGTGAGTGATATGACGATCTTTAAACATATATTAGCCTCTGAGACCAAGAAGAGAATAATGAAGACTCGCAGCAGGAGGAATTACTAGGCATTTGATGTGAAGACTGAAGAATATCATGAGATTTGATTCCTTTGCTATTTTAAAGAACACGATGAAGCATAATTTCTCAACAATTAGCAAGATAAAGCCAGCCCGGAGGAAGCACACAAGGCATGGTTTATTTATTCGCTCAGAAAAGTTAATTTGGCACCCGACGAGACAGGCAGTGGGCAAGACTATTCTGGGGAATACTAATTGGACCCAACCTTTAGCCCTCATGTGGTTCATAATCTACCTATCATACAATTCAATGATTTGTTGAGGATCCTTGTTTTTTATTTAGTGTAGAAAACCACACAAAGTAATACTGATAAACTAGATTTTTACTGGTTGGCATGATATAGAGGGCAGGCTAGATGCTAGAGATCTGCTATGCTTTGCAGCTTTTTAAAAGATCTAGCTCATAATGAGCTTGTGTGTTTGTCCCAGTTCAGCTCTTCAGCTCATGGTGCTGCTGCCTCGTGGTCACCCTCCATTCCCAGCTACATCTAGGAGCTGTTGACCAGAAGTGATGAAGCAGGACATGTGACAGCTGATTCACAGGAGTTACTGGGCACACTTGGTAAGAACCTCTGTAACCAGATGCTGAAGGTCAGAAGGGACCTACTGAATTAAGCAATTCATCCCTATTCTGCTCAGTGTGATTAGACAAATTGCTATGGAAAGTGTATATCTTGGTGTGATACCAAGAGCAACATGTCCCAGGTGCCAAACAGCATGTGGAGGGACTAGATCCCCAACCCTGAGAAGTCTCCATCCTCCATGGGATACTGATATTCCTTCCCCTTGTCCTCCCCAACCCTCCCAGAATACTATAGGGGACCTAACTGGCAAAGCAAGAGAAAGGCTCAGAAACCATGCACACTACCCAGGAATGAAGAGAAAGGAAGAGAAGAAGGAAGGTAAGGATTTTATTAGTGTCTCAGGCAAGAACTACTGATACTTGCACTTCTCTACTCCACTTTGAAACAATGGTTTATTAGTTTGCATGCAGTTTATTAAACACAGAGAAAAACCATCAACTTATCTGTTTAGTGTGGTTCATTGCAGGAGAATAAGATAACGATTTCTGCCCATTCAGTGCTAGTCCCCCAATATTTGCTAAGTGACAGACAGTGCTACTAATGCTGAGGGTGTGGTGATATGCCAGTTCTTAAGAAATGTGATCCACTGGAGGAAATCCTCATGAACCAACAGAATCACTGTCATAAGACTAAAAGAAATATTTGCAGGCAGCCTGGGTGGCTCAGCAGTTCAGCACTGCCTTTGGCCCAGGGTGTGATCCTGGAGGCCTGGGATCAAGTCCCACGTCTGGCTTTCTGCATGGAATGAAGCCTGCTTCTCCCTCTGCCTGTGTCAGTGTCTTTCTCTCTCTCTGTGTCATAAATAAATAAATAAATAAATAAATAAATAAATAAATAAATAAATAAAATCTTAAAAAAAAGAGAAATATTTGCTCAATATGGGCACAATTAGATGTAGAAAATTTCAACTGACAGTTCTTTTTAGGGAAGATAGTTCAGATGAACTCTTTGAAGTAAGGAGACAGATTACAAAAACATACCCAAGTAACAATGGATGGTTTCAACACTTTGAGGGAAGAGGAGATCTTGTTAATTAAAGGGCAATTTATTTTCCAAACATCATGGGGGATTCACTGTGTGCTTTCTGGGAGTAGAAGCTAGGGCAGCAATGGGTATCTTTGCATGGTAGGGAGAAAAGAAATCATAACTCTATAGGGAGCAGGGATCCAGAAGGGAAAGGAGAGCTGTCTACCAGGCAGGTGCACAGGAAGGTGTAATGGTCACATGACACTGTCAGCATAGCTTGCTGTGGTGATTGCAATGTAAATTGTCCCCCTCTTCAGGCCTCCCAGAGGAATCTTCAATAAAATAGAAAATGGTTAATATGGTTTTGTGTATATTTTTTTTAAAGAGCTGGAAGCCCCACTTGAAGTTCTGTCTGGATTGGTGGGTGGAGAGGATGAGCAAACGAGCCTGCATGGACTTCACACTCACTAATGACCTCCAATCTTGTCAACTGTCTTGACTGTGGAAATAGGCTCCCAACCGGTCTCCCTCTTCCACCCTTGCTCTCCAATGGCCTTTTGTCCCCAACCTAGCCCAAATGATCCTTTTAAAACATAAGTCAGATTGCATCTACCCTCTGCTCAAAACTCTATAATAGTGTCCATATCCTTTAAGACAAACCTGCTTTCCTAATCATGGCTGACATGCCCCTGACTCCTTGGGGGCTCATCTCCTGCCACTCTCCTCATTCCTATCCTACTGTAATCTTACTTTCTTCTCCTTGTCATTTGAATACTTGAAGACCTTCTTCATGTCAGACATTTGCATTCATTGTTTACTTTGCTGAGATGCTCTTCCTTGGGAAGATCACCTAACTCATTTTCCCTTCTTTTGATGTCTTTCCTCAAGTGCCATCTTCTTGGTTGGTAGCCTCCCTGTCTCCCCTTTCTTACTGAGCATTTCTCCACTGTCCCCTCCACCTCTGACCTGGCACTCTTTATTTCACAGTGTTTATATGTTTGTTGATGATTTGCCCCCACTTCCTGCTAGAATGTAAATCCCATGGGGTCATGGGCTTTGTCAGCATTGTCATGCTGTGTCTCCAAAGCCTATAATGAATGGTACCTAGTATAGGGTAAGTAATTAATGAATAAGTGTTGAAGGAATGGCTGGCTGGCTGGCTGGCTGGCTGGATGAAGTTGTACATGGAGAGACCATAGAGTATGAAGAAAAACTTGGATTAGAGTGAAAACCTCACAAGTGACTGAAGTTTCCTTCAAGGATTCATAACAACAGTGGTAGGGGATTGTTTCCAAATAGTCTTGTCCATTTTCTTTTATTTTTGGCACATAGTATGTCAGTGATGTGCTTTGTTTTATCAAACAAGCCTTTTGGAGGGTGGCCTAGAGGGAGAGGGTGGGCCTGGCCTCTTCCTTGAGGATGCACATGTGGCCTCTGGACAATGGAATTCCTGGCCAGGGTGCCCTGAGAAGGCAATGCAGGCAAGCGCACACACTTGCGCATGCACCAGATCTGTGTGCCCTTCTGTGTGGGGGGTTCAGATAGCTCCCTCCTCAATTATAGTTGTGACAACTCTGGAAGCAGAACAGAAAAGGAGGAAGAGGGAGAGGAAAAAAGAAAGAGAGTAGTGGAGCTAAAAGGCATTTTGGAATAAATACGATGTATAAAAATAAGCAGCCAAGTGGACTCATAATGTGGACATAGAATTCACTCACTTTTTACTCTTGACTAGAGGATTGCTCCTAGCTCCCTTCTCTCTTATCTCTATTTTGTATCCCCAGCTAGGAGAAAAAGCATAGCAATGGCTTGGATCTTTTTTTGTGTGTGTGTTTTGTTTTGTTTTGTTTTGTTTTTGCAGGAAAGATATTTGGCCTACAAAATAAATCTTAAAGAGTAAGGCACTAGAAATGACATATATGATAATGATAATCATGTCTACTAGTTGTTGAGTACCTCTACTTGCTCAGCTCAATAGAAGGCCCTTTCCATGGGTTACTCCCATTCTTACACAGCATTGTAAGGTGGAGATTATCCCCGTTGAACATCTCAAGATACTGAGGCTTGAGAAACCTGAAGTAAATCTAGACCTTTTATATCTTGAAAAGATTCCTCTTGGCTATTTTCTCTTTCATAGCAGTCCACGTACACCTTGAGTAGAGTTGATAGTCCAAGCAGTAATGAATTGAAGGAAAGTAGGAAACCCCCAAAACCAAGATTCTAATTATCTTTGACAATCATAATAGTGTATGACACTCTACTTCAACAAATGTCTGTCAGACTGGAGTTAAGGGAATAAATGAAACTGTTAAAGGTTGATGAAAATAGACAGGGTAGTAACAGGAAGGGCTCACGTGCATACAGCATCCCCTCTCACCTTATCCCAACTCCCATGTTAGAATGGTGGTATTATGTGGTGAAAAGTGTGAATTTTTAAACACCAAGGGAGTTGTTTCTTGGTGGAGGGGGTCTCAAGTGTTCGAGCTGTGAAAGAGACCCCACAGCAGGCTTTGAAGTAGTTGCTAGGGAAAAGGAGGAGGATATAAGAGACCATCTTAAGGTGGGTTGTGAAAAAGCAAAGATCTGCTCCAAAATCAATTCTTGATTACTCATCATGATGGATCCAGAAAGAGAGAAGAGCCCCCTCCCCTCCAAACCCCCCATATCAAAATATCATCTTCATTTCCATAGCAAACTTGCTTGAAAGACTGCTAAACAGTGGCTAAATTCAAAACTTACATCTCACTTTCCTTCTCTGTCCTTCTTCTCCCTTTCCTAATACAGGGATGGACAGACAGATGGAGCCCAGACTATTCCAAGATTTTATCACGGAATGATCAGGATTTGGATGCTTGCACTTTGGGGAGCTCATTTTCCAGTTTTGTGTGTGTGTGTGTGTGGCTGAAGGCTGTCTGACCTATCAGGTGACCAGAAGAAGCTAGCTAATTCGTCCATTAAAAGATTTGTCAACTAAGCAGCTCACCACACAAGAGCTGCTGAGGCTTCAGGGCAAAGAAGCCAAAATAAACATCAGTGGGGCCCACAGGTTTGGGTCACTGGGATAAAAGGAAAGGAAATTTCTAAGGTGGCTGGCCTGTGTTATCTCTTCCCAGGTTGCTGCTCTTGGCATTGACTGCTGTGAGGCCCAGCGACCCAAGGCCATTCCTGGTTGAGAGAACCAAATCATTCACTCCTTCCTTACTTCTTTCAGTTCTTTGAAACATGTGTTCATCCATTCATTCATCAATCTCAGCTGACTTCCTCTGTGACTCTCAGAGGTGGGTCTGAAAGACATTTTAGAGCAACACTAAAGAGTCTCAGGGTAACTGGGTTACAATCAGCATTGCTAGGACTTTGAATATCAAAGACATACTTTGGTTAAAATACCTGATGAGGCCTTGGCAGGAGGGGATGAATAACCTGGAAAGCCATAGCATCTGAGGCCTGAGTTTTCACCTACGTAAGCTCTAATGCACTGAAATATAACCACCTACCTATTTGCCTGCCTTCTGCTCAGCAGTCAGCTTCTGGAGGTCTTGTATCCCAGCACCCAGCACAGGTCTTGGCAAATTGTAGGAGCTTAACAAATATTTGTTGAGTAAATTGAATGAGATTGGGCAGATTCCCATGATGTCAGCCTGTGAGGTCTTTTTCAAGAGGTAGGTGTACTCAGCGGCTCCTGTGGAGCATTTTAGAAGGGGGAGTTAGTACCTTGGGGGCAAGGACTGCCTCTCATTCATCTCTGTATCTGGAGTGCTATGTTTGCTTAAGGAATGAGTAAATGTCTGTATTGCTCAAGGGGTGGCCATGTAATAATCTATTGGGATAGTCCCACCCTATCCTCAGCTTGGAAGAAGATCCTCAGGCAATCAACACAGAAATGTGCCAGACTGATGCCTGATTATTGCTAAAACATCTCCAGAGGGACCTGGATGGGGGCATTTTCTACAAGCCATACTTTGAGTTTGTAAGCTCCTATCAACAGCTCAAAAACTCAAGGAGGTGCCTGGTAGTGCAAAGGGCAAGGCCTTGTTAGCCAGTTTGGGACACAAATAACAGGAGCCAGAGGAATGGCTTTAGCAACAGTACTTTGTTATGACTGCAGGAAAACCACCCAGGAAATACATGCCCTACTGTTGATAACTACAAAAAACAGGAAATGAACAAAAGTAATGACAAGATGAAGGAATGAGTTGGTCAAGGAGGAAAAAAAACAACAACAATAAAAATGAGGCTCATAAATATACCATGATTCTACCTTTCTTAAGTCCATTCATAAAAATACATTCAATATGGATTTGCATTAAATACAAAAACTAAAAAAAAAGATTAAAAAATTAGAAGAAAATATGAATCACTTTTAACTGATCACTTGAAAGGGAAAGCATTTCTAACCACAAAGGCAAAAACAGAAAGCCAATTGCAAAAGAGCAACTTAACACGCATTAAATTAGAATGCGTGTAGAGATCTTGATGTCCTTCTTGAAGTCTTCATTTCCATAATACACAAAATAAAGGTATGACTCTTGAAATCAGAAAAAATAAAAGCATGCGTTTAATAAGAAATATACATTTGTTCCATTAACATCTCACACCAGGCCAAATACCACCCCCACCTCACCCCACCCTTGCTGCCACTTAGGTTGACTTTTTTGGCATGCTTGTTATATTTCTATACTTTCAAAAACTTGCATAAATCCATGTGCGGATGCAAGGTTGAGAAAGCCCACAGCATGATTCGTCTCTGGTCCCAGGACTCACTAAGGAATGATCTGTAGTGTTAGATGTGCCCTCTTTTACTTATCCCAACTATCCCAGTATTTTTGTCTTGAGAGACATCGCTTTCATTGGACCTAACTCCTATACTCTTATTTTACATTTGTTTCTTCTTCTTTCCTAGTGTGGCATTCTAAACTTCTCACGGAGGGTTCCAGGTATCCATATTCCCAGCCCCATGTCCCATTGGGCATGCACATACATAGTATGCTTCATCTAGCATTGCTATACTTGGTACATCCATGGAACTCTATGCTTTCATTTTCTCTCTACCTGGATTTTTGTTTTCTCTCTTTTCCATCTAACAAACTCCACTCTCTTTAAGAATCAAATCAAAAGTGATTTTATGCATTATCAATGCCTTTCCTAATTCTCCTGTTAGAAGGCACCTCCTCTCCCCTCAGCTGTCACAACAGAGTACCTACACACCCATGTCCCACTTTTTTTTTTAAGATTTTATTTATTTATTCATGAGAGAGGCAGGGACATAGGCAGAGGGAGAAGCGGGCTCCCTGCGGGGAGCCCAATGTAAGACTCGATCCCGGGACTCTGAGACCATGCCCTGAGCCAGAGGCAGATGCTCAACCACTGAGCCATCTAGGTGCTCCACACCCTCGTCCCACTTTATCACCTTAAACCCTAGCTGTGTGTAGTTTCATCCCCCTGATCCCACCACAGGGGCCCTGAAGGCAGAAACCATGTCTAATTCCTGTCTCATTCAGCTTCATACCCCCAACATTCTGCATGGTGCCAGAAATAGAGTAAAATTTTGTTTTATGATGAATGAATGATATTGTAAATGATAAAATATAAACTGGTTGTTGTATTCTCCCATGAACTATTTTTTTAAGATTTATTTATTTATTTATTCATTGATTCATTGATTCATTCATTCATGAGAGACACAGAGAGAAAGAGAGGCAGAGACACAGGCAGAGAGAGAAGCAGGCTCCATGCAGGGAGCCCGATGTGGGACTCAATCCGAGGCCACCAGGATCACGTCCTGGATGGAAGGGAGGTGCTCAACTGCTGAGCCACCCAGGCGTCCCCATGAACTAGTTTTTAATTCCTTAAGGCAGAGTATCAAATTTGGCCTCTAGGAGACACAATTACCACTTCAAGACATACTTGTTTTATGTTTCATTTTCCAGCTTCTTATATATTGGAACCTGAAACGCTAGAGTCTGAAACATAAGATTCCCATAAAGTGTCCATAAAGAAGGTCAAGGAAAATTCTAGCCTTTGGATTTTACTTCTTCTTCTTATCATATATTTAAAGGTTCAGGTGTTTCCGGTTATCTGAAAGTGAATAATAAAACCCTAGAGGTTGTACATATCTGTCTGGATTAGTTTGTTTATTCCTATGACAATGGCTATATTATCCCCATAGTTTCAAACAGCAATCAGAAAGCTCCCAGAGCATGCATCAGGTTTTCAGTGAGCAACTTATTTACTTGGCCACAGAAACTGGACCACCATATGCTAACAGGCTACTGGTTTTCTTTCTTTCCAGAAGGCCATATGTGAAATCCTACTGAAACATATTCTTGCAAGTTTGGGGGCATTCGAAGTAAAGGGCTAGGCTGAAAGGTCCAGTTTGTTAATTGGTGATCAACAAGTGACTTTTATTGAGGATCGATCGTCTGAGCCAGATACTGTCATCCGTTCTCTCAGAGTCAATGTTCACAATAGCCCTATATTACACAGTATTATGATTATTTTAATTTATCATTATTTACAGGTAATGAAAGAGAGTCTACGAAAACTTAAATCATTTGCCACAGCTCACAGAACCAGCAAATCAGACAGGGACACAGACAAAACTCTGCAGATTCCAAGCGTTTTTCTCTTCACTAGGCCCGGTATCTCCTGGTAGGAGAAATTTGGTAAGTCAACAAGGAATGACAGTGGGTTTTTATCAGAGTCCTTCCAGGCTCCTTACCACACTGCACTCACAGTGAAACAGCACATCCTCTGGATTTCCAGGGTTTTCCTTAGTCCGGGAGACAGCCCAGCGGCAACAGTGTGAGCTGGTGCCAATCCCACCCAAGGTGATCTGTCCTAGTCTGCAATCAGCTCAGGGCTTTCGTTCTTCTGAGCAGCCCAGATTTTCCAACTGCCTCATTTTCATGGGCTTTCGGCCTGCTGCTTTTTAAAATTTCCTGATTTGTGTGTTTCTTCCCCTTTTGCTTATTTGGGTAGGAATGAGGAAAGGCCACGTACGTCCAGACACTCCAGGAGGCCCAGGGGTGGTCAAGTCACCCCTTTCCTTGCAAACCCCTCAGGGCAGAGCCTGGCTGACAGCTGACATAATCTCACATACCAACTGAGAAACAAATAAACAGAGGAGGAGTTTTTAGTAGTAGCCATGACAAAAGAGCAAACAGAGAAGGAGCTGGACGTGAACAAGTCACCACAAACGGCTTTTGCAGTCACGCAGTCCTGTTGGCCTTAAACCTGGAAGAACCTAGAACTAGTCCTTTAAACTATGACTGGCAACTAAATTGCACCTGCTTAGCCAAAGGCCGCAAAGTTGGCCCCCAGCAAAGCAGGAAAGAATGTAGGGTTTGTGTCTGGACCTTCATCCCCCACCCCTCATCTCAGCAGTATTGTGGGGCATGTCAGCTGATAAGGGGTTTCCTGTGTCACTCTCCTGCAGGGACAATTTGCCTTTTGACACCTGGAACGGGGAATCCCCCAGTACTAATTTACTGTTGAATATCTATTTCCTCTTGTGCCGCTCTATTTCATATATTTTTCTCATCCCAGTTAGGATTGATGAATTATTTCACCAAGCAGGCACTTGAAGAGACCTCTTCCATTCCAGACACTGTCACATGTGAACTCTGGTTGCCTGTGCCCATTTTACTCCGGTAGGTACCTTCTAGTGGGATCCAGACAATGCCTAGAGATTCATGGGTCATTTGGACTCAAAGGAACATTGGAGAATTAATAGTATTAATAATACAACTAGGGGATCCCTGGGTGGCTCAGTGGTTTAGCACCTGCCTTCGGCCCGGGGTGTGATCCTGGAGTCCCGGGATCGGGTCCAGCATCGGGCTCCTTGCATGGAGCCTGCTTCTCCCTCTGCCTGTGTCTCTGCCTCTCTCTCTCTCTCTCTCTGTGTCTCTTATGAATAAATAAATAAAATATTAAAAAAATAATAATAACTAACGTTTATTGTGTACTTGCTATGGGTCAAGACTTTGGCTAAGTTTTTATGTTTTACTATTCCATTGAAAACTCACAAGAACTCTAATGATCTCCACTTAAAGAAGACATGAACTGAAACAAATGGTGGTTAAAAATTTTCCCAAGCCCACTTATTTTTCTCCCCCATTCTGGTAGAATTAGGGTGTCTTTCCTCACCTAGTTCTGCCCTCCTTAAGCCAAGCAGGAACACTAGGGGACTGCCTTGGGTCACACAGAGGGTGACTGGTCTCACTGCTTCCATATTAATGCACTGAATGAAGCCTCTGAGAGTTAAAGTAATGAAGGTGTATATGTAGAGCGTTGGGTCTTAAGGGTGTTATTTAGAAGTTGGGGAAGGGGCATCTGGGTGGCTCGTTAAGCATCTGGCTCTTAATTTCAGGTCAGGTCATAATCTCAACATCCTGAGGTCGAGCCCCATGTTGGACTCTGTGCTGAGTGTGGAATCTGCTGGAGATTCTCTCTCCTTTTCCTTCTGCTTCCCCCACCCCTGCTCACGTATGTGCTCTCTATCTCTCTCTCTAAAAAAGGAGGAAGGAAGGAAGGAAGGAAGGAAGGAAGGAAGGAAGGAAGGAAGGAGAAAGGAAGGTAGGAAGGAAGAAAACAAAGAAGGAAAGAGGGAGGAAGGAAGAAAGAAAGAAAGAAAGAAAGAAAGAAAGAAGAAAGAAAGAAAGAAAAAAAAAGGGAGAGAAATTGAGAGAGAAGCAAGGGAGGGAGGGAGAAAGAGCCCAAAACACTGGGGCCAGAGGAGACCATGTCTTTGCAGAGGGCAGGAACAGAGACTTTTGAGAGGGCGTCCAAGGCTGAGAAGTTTGTGAGCAGCAGCAGGTATGGAAGGGAGATGGAAAGAAGAGGATAGGAGTTTTAAGGAGAATTTCTCAGGGTTGAGAATTGGACCTCCCTCCTTAAAAGTATCTCAAGGGACACAATAATAATTGCAATTACTTTTATGTTTTTATTGATGAGTATGCAGTGTTTCTCTGAGTGGACTGGCAAGTCAGGAACAGGCCACATGGAGCCCTAATTCTCAGAGGGGTTGCACAACCAATTTTCAAGCATTTACCGACACCTGTTTTGTCCTAAGGATGGAAAGAGGAAGAAGGAAGAGCTTTAAGATTAAGAGTCTCACAAACAGGTGTCTACCCTTCCATCTGGAATGACTACTAGACCTTTGGCCTTCTTGGCTGTGTGCCTGCATCCAAGAAGAAATGAAACAAAACAAAGTCAAGGTCCTTAGCTTGGGAGGGGTAGACTGTAACCCACAATGCCCAGAGTGAACCAAAAGGCAACTTAATTCAAACCCTTTATTTGACAAATAAGAAACCGAAGCCCAGAGGATGAAGTGGCCTCATGGAGCAGGACACCAACAGGGACTGGAGACACTTGACTGTCTCTTTTCACTGTAGGCTCTCAGGCATTGCTGGGCTGAATCTGGGGACCTCAACATACAATTCCATCTCACTTATCCCTACTCCGAGTGGACAAGACTTATCAGGGACTTCAAGACAGGCTGCATAGAAGCTAGAGACTGGAGGCCCTTCCACATTGCCATGGTAAATGTCTGTGACGTGAGCCATAGCTCTTGCCTAGGCAAGCCTCCTGGCTGCTCTCAAGTCCTGTCTCCCCTTGGATTCTGGTCTTGGTACTGCTTCCAAGCAACTCAGAGGACTCTATTATTCAGTTTTACCTTTCATTGAGGGCAGAGGGACAGAGGGCTAAAAGACTCTGTTCTTTTCCAGACAGTGTTGACTTCCTGCCTCTCTCCACAGCACATCAATGGGAAGCACACTCCTCTGAGATAAATTGATACTTGGAAAGATCAAAGGTTCATCAGGAAGGCAGTTCATTCCAGTGATCCATCAGCTGTTTGGGTTTGTCTAGGTGGGTAAAGAAACAAGAATTCTCCTTGAGGTGTCACCAAAAAGCTGCCTGTATGGTGGTGGAGGCCCCATGGAGGTTGGGTGGTTGGATGGGCCTCAACCTGGTCATTTGTCAAAGGTGTCCGTCATCCTGACACCTGATTTACTCATTTTTTGGGTGAATGGGGAGGAGACATTCTACTGGGCCTAATACCATGTGGGCCAAGCTTTCTCTGTCAGCGAGGTGGAGAGCCTGCCATCCTCCAGAGTATCTTAGTCCCTGGAATTCTCTGCCAAGACAGGGGAAGAATTAGGGTGAGGGCAAATTTTTGTGTCTCTAATGAATCCTCAAGGCTCTGAGTCTGTCAACACCTGGGAGCTGCAGGAGTCAGCAGGTGCTTCCTTCCTTTCCCTCGGACCCACAGGGGCCCCAAAACTCTCAAGTGGGATGTTGTCCTGGAGATATTGTTCCCTGGGGCTAGCCCGGGGCTGTAGACACACCACAGTAGGCCAGTGTCAATGACTGTGTTCCTGGCCTTTCCAACTCCTCTCCCAGAAATGCAGGCCATGCCATGAATTTACTGTGTCATCTTGAATGGGCCTCTAAACTTCTTGGGCCCTTGGTTCTTCATCTATCAATAATGATCTCCGCCCAGCTATAGTAGACGTAGGTTTTCCAAAGTGTGATTTGTGCCAACCTCTGCCCCCACTCCTGTCAGAATTCCTGAGAATATTTATTTTAAATCTGTGTTCCTGGATCTCATGCCAAAGAATTCTGATTCAATGGTACTGGGGTTGGCCTACACGTATCGGCACTGTTAACAGATACCCAAGGTGACATTTTAATGCATCTCACTTCCCTAAATTCATGTCATGGTGGCAAACTGAACCATTCTATTTAGTACTGGATCATGTCATTTACTGTATTGATTTCCAATTATTTTTTAATGATTTTATCTATTGACAGAGAGAAAGAGCACAAGCAGGTGGAGAAGCAGAGGGAGAGGGAGAAGCAGACTCCCTGTGAGCCCAATGTGGGACTCAATCCCAGGACTGTGAGATCATGACCATGAGCTGAAGGCAGACGCTTAACAGACTGAGCCACCCAGGCACCCTGATTTCCAATTACTTTAGTCACATAATACAGCCTACTTTGAGCAGCAGGCAAGCTCCATGAGAGCCAACATTCTAGTCTTTTTCTTTTTAAAAATTTCCCTGCAGGGGAGATTGATTAGAATGGAGCAACAAGGAACTTACTAGGGTGACAGAAATAGTAGGGGTATAGGTTACACTGGTGTATCCATTTGTCAAAGCCCACTGAATTGTGACACAAAGAATTTGAATTTCACCATATCTAAGTTATACCTCAATTAAATAATTAACTTTGAGAAGAACAACAAAAAATGCTAACTCAAAATTCTCATATAGTTAACAGAAAGGCAGCCAGCTTGAATCAAATATGCTTTGTTTGAGGGACACTGTCAGCAACATTGGAAAAGGCTCTGCAGCTGGCAATTTCTTTCTAAACTAAACCCTTTCCCCCTCCTGATCACCAATGGGTGGCAAAGCCAATCTCTGGGTCAGCCCTTCAAGTGGGGACTGGTATGGACTCCAGAGTGCCTCTGGGAAGCACATGGAGCAGAAGGAGTGTCCTGCCCAAACCCTCCTGGCACCAAGAGGATCTGAGACACATGTCTGATGTGCAACCAATCAGCCCCAGCTTCTGCCCTCTGCCCACCACCAACACCCCCCCTCCCCGTCACCAGGATAAGGCTGCCCAGCTTCATTCCAGACATTTCCCTGGGGCTGCTTTCCTACATGGAAATGTGCATTGCTTTTTTATTCAGTCCACACTGATCAAGTATCTCTGTAGCAGGCACTAAAATGAATGAAAAGTGGTGTCTGTCTTCAAACCCTCATAGTCCTGGGGGCCAGCTAAGTAAATGTGCAGTCTGAGGGCAGGATGTGAAGCGCCTAAGTGGCTCAGTTGGTTACGCGTCTGCTTGGCTTAGGTCATGATCCCAGGGTCCTGGGGTGGAGTCCTGCATGAGGTTCTCTGCTCAGAGGGGAGTCTGCTTCTTTTTCTTCTCCTCCTCCCTTTGCTCCTCCTCCCTTGCTCTCTCCTCTCAAATAAATAAATAAATAAATAAAAATCTTAAAAAAAAAAAAAAAAGTTTGATGGCAGGATGTGAACCACAGTCACAGGTCCTTTGAGCTTGTGACCCCAGAGGAGGAGTTCAGCACTCTGGGGGTAGCGCCTGAGGCACAGAGGAAGGGGCCGGTGGTGAGCTAGGAGGGTTGTTCCAGGGAGAGGGGGTGGTATCATTTAGTTAAGGGAGTGGTGAAAAAGAAGGCTTGGGTACAGGCTAGACCACAAATTGCCTACTGACTTTGGACTTTATCCTGAAACTGCCTAGTCTTGTTGGTTTTTGTTTTTGTTTTTGGTTTTGTTTTTATTTTATTTTTTTCAAATACAGGAGTGACACACTTTGTCTTTTATTTTCCTCCTCTTTTAAACTAAGGAAATGCACAGTAATTTCTACCACTCTAGTCTCCACCCCACAGTGAGTGAGAATGGCCCTGAGCTCCAGCGGTCAGATGTCCTTGGGGGCCACCTCCTTCACCACTCCCCTTCCAGTCATGAGGAAACCCAGAGGCACAGCATATGGACCTCAGTTTCTTCCAAACTAGCTGAATATCTGAATCGTGGAAGATATCCTGATCTTCCACGGTTATACTTGGAACTCTTAAACTTCTAGTGACTTCCACTCTGGCTTGTTCAAGAACCGGTTCTACCATTTCACCAGCAGGAATGCACAGCACGATCCCATTCATCCCAAGGTGTTTTGTCTGGTAACCTCAACGATGACACCAAAGAGCTGAGAATAAGAACATTTCCAAATATATAAAGTCAGTGACATTAGGTCCATACTGTAGACATGGTTGGCATGTATTCAGTTACCCGGTCCTTTATTTGGAGGCTGGTCTGCACCTATTAAACACAATTGGGACAAGCCTGGCACTTTCCATTTCCAGCCAAGGG